AACATAAATAAATAAAATATTAAAATTCCTATGCACCCAGACTTTGTGGACATCCTCTACTTCACTACCCTCCTCATACGTAAATCTTTGACGACATGCTTTTCGGTTTAACGTATTACAATATAGGTTCAAATGCATCAAAAGGCCTATCCGCCATGGCCTTACGTTAATCTCGAAAATTCGATAAAGAATCAATATACGATTATCGGTCAACTAATTATGGCCAATTCGCGGGAATTATTTGCTCAATTCTTGTTTCCTATTAGTTGTGCTTCTCACCGGCTCCCGGTTTGCTCTTATTCCTATGGCGGCGGTTTATTTAATTGCCTTCGATTTGCTTATAGTTACTTTTTGTTTAGTTATTAATTATTGCGCGTTTTTTGTTGCCATACGTTAGATTAAAATCACAATTGTGTCTATTATTTACTACTTTTATACGCTCTTTTTTCCTTTCTCCCTGATATGCCCCACCCATATACCCTCTTTTACCACCGGTCCCCTATTACACAATCCTGGGGTATTTTGTTAATGTGGTGATGTTTATGAGGAACCCTTTGGTGTTGTTTTATTAAAGTTGGGATAATTTGATCAGATGAAGATCAGTAATATTGTTTTGGTCATTGTTCTAATGAAATTAAATAACTTCTCTTCGGCACTTCCATCCGCATCCATGGGTCTTCATATTTATTGCTAATCCTGTCATATTTTGTCCTCCTATAGAGCATGGTCTTGGAATGGAGTCTTGGTTTCTCCGCCGGGGTAAGTCAGGAATATTCGTGCCCACATTGTTGTTACCTCATCTCTACTTGCGTTCCTCTTCGTGATTCCTCTGGTGTCCCTATCTCTGGTCCCAGTCCCATCTTTCTATGCACTGACTCAAAATCTCCTTGCCTATCACGTACGATCTCAATTTTCGGCAGATCTGCGCAACTTTCGGCACCATTTAATTGTCTACTCCAAGAGGGGCAATTTGCATGACGCCTCAACCAATATCATTTGCACGATGCCGATGATTTTTTGCATCTATTAAGTGGTGCAAGTTCTTAGTTAATTTAGTATACCATCCAACAATAACGAAGTCTATTTATTTCCTTTTAGGTGATGCTGGCTGCCTCTTTTTGGTCCTTGTTGCAGCCGGCTATCACTCTGGCTGAAGCCGGGCACGACCAGGGCGGTCTTGCAATGGGTCGTCTCTCCTTTCTTCCGGCTGCTATTGGGTTCGCAGTTGGCGCTCTTTTCATCCTGATCGCCGACATCCTGTTTCCGGAACAGGTAAACTTTTAGTGCTTTTGATGTTTTTTTGGCATTTCTGCTTAAATTCAACTAAATTCTTCCCACCTCTATCTGCCGTTTTGGTGTCCTCTCTCTCTCTCGCTCTCTGTAATTTCTCCACATCGTTCGTGCGGTCGGCCATTCACACTCGCACTCACCCAACTGCAAAATTTGCGTTAAACACCCGTGTTAGGAGTACGACTGAAGTCGAATCTACTTGGGACTTCATTTGCCGAACTGTAAAAGGATAGACATAACACTTGCAATTTTCCCCAAGGTGGAGAAATTTAGGTAAATGTGGGCCCATAGTCGTTCCGACTAAGTGTAGGAAGTAGTCTCCTTAGAATATGGTTCTCTTCGAAACGTTTTGGAGAATTTATAAACGTGTGTATGTGAAAAGGCTCATAAAATGTAATCGAAATTCTGAAATGCGTTTTCGATAACAATAATGTTGGTCGCTTACCTTAGATACCCCTTGCCCCAGAATAAATATACTTAAATAACTACTTTGTACTAAAAGATACTAGCTAAATTGAACTACTCTAAAAAAACTAACTAAAATAAAAGCAAAACTAAAATAATAAACTAGAGTTAACTAATACCACCCATTATTATTTGTGTACTCTAGTTTATTTTTTTAGTTTTGCTTTTATTTTAGTTAGTTTTGTTTAGAGTAGTTCAATTTAGCTAGTATCTTTTAGTATAAAGTAGTTATTTAAGTATATTTATCGGACGTTAGTGGTATGTAACTAAAGTAAAAAATAACATAAACTAAACCTAAAAGTAAATTAATAAACTAAAAACTAAACTAAAAGAAATCAGAGGACTAGGGGTAAGGTGGGCGAGCAGCTTTATTGCTACCGTGTTTTCGATTAGAAAGGATTACTTTGGTGTGTTCATGAGATTAATTATCGTGCCGCATGAATTCAAGATATTTCAGTCATATCAGAATGCTGGCTTTTGAATACGCTCCTCCTTAGCTGTTTGCAGTAACCACACTCCTTAAGTCGTCTCATGTTTTACCGATTTTCGATGTTATTACAGAGAAGCAAAATTTATGTTCTTATTAGTATAAATATCGTGAACTAAAGCGAAGTCGATTCTAATTTCGAGAAAACACGGATTTTTAGCACAGTTCATACCTAGCTGGCTAGAAAACTTGCTAGCGCTGATAGCATGACATGTGAGCTCGTAGTCAGAGGTCGTTTGCTGTATGGCTGGTCAAAGCTGCCCTCCCCGGCACTGTCCTAAAGGTGCTCTATTTCTGGGCTAGCGTCTGCTTTAAGAAGTAATCGATCTGCATTTCTCCGGCTGACCGTTTTTGGTTGTATGGCTTCTGTAGTCTCATTTGGCCTGCCATCTCTGTCGCTCCTCTTATTGCATTTATTTTTTCTTCGTTTATTTGCAGAATATTCTGGTTCTGCCCCAAACTAAGACGTCGGTTGCTGGAGGCAGTCCGGCCTGTAATCTTGTCCTCGGTGAGTTTATCGTTCGTCTCCTCCTTTCCTGAGGCCCTCCAGTCCCCTTTTGCTGCCCGAGATAAGGAAATTTGAATGGTTCAATGCCGCTGCCGTTACTGGTGGCTTTCACACTCCACTCCAAGCATGTGCACGTGGTCACTGGCGCCTGGACGTCGTCTTCCCATCCACTTAGAAAAAAAAACAGCAAACTAAACAGGTAGACTCCTTCAGGCGTGCCCTGTGTTTGTTAGAACGGGCACCCGGTCTCTTTTGTGTCAATGAATAAGGGTCTCTGTGCAGAATGAAGTTCCTCTTGCCGGTTTCCTACACCGTCTGCTTTTAAGTAGGTGTTGCCCTCCACTGTGGGCACATCCACTCTCGTGGACAGCAGAGGCGAACTGTGGCCCACTGCCTTTAATTTAGAAAGGGTTTAGCACGGAAATATGAGGACCCATATTGGGAGTAGAC